GCCCATACTGTGGCTCGGAAATTGGTAGAAGAGTTTGTTTGTCGTTACGGTGTACCAAAAGAAATACACTCTGATCAAGGTCGGAACTTTGAATCAAACCTATTCAAGGAGGTTTGTAAGATTCTAGATGTAAAGAAAACAAGAACAACTGCTTACAATCCCAAGTCGGATGGGATGGTAGAACGCTTTAACAGAACTTTGGTAAACATGCTAGTAACTATGATTGATCCTGACGAACACCAGCAAGACTGGGATAGATATATTCCTTTTGCTACCGCCGCGTACAGAAGCACCGTACACGAAACAATACAGGAAACACCAAACATGATGATGTTTGGCCGAGAAGTTACCCATCCTGTAGACCTTTCGCTTGAGCAAGCAACTTCAGAACTAAACACTGATTATGCTCAGGATCTACGAAACAGAATGGATAGTATGTACTCGAGGGTAACAGAACAAAGTGACAAAAACTTGAGACGACAAAAGCGAAACTATGATAGGCACACAAATGACGAAACGTTCACTGTAGGTCAATTTGTTTGGCTTCGCCATGACCAAAGGAAGAAAGGTATAAGTCCAAAACTAACAAACCGATGGGACGGACCTTTCCGAGTAATAACCAAACTATCCAATGTAACTTATCGCATTCAGCGAACACCCAGAACACCCCAGAAGATCGTTCACTACGATCGTCTGAAACTATATGAAGGACCAGAACTCGACGCTTGGAAGAAACCAAAAACACAAAGAACCATCATATGTGATGTCGAGGAGACACTCAACAATCACGACGGAACTTGTAACAATAACAAGGACAACAATACTAACACCCCCGAACTTGACAGACGTTATCCCCAAAGAAATAGACGTCCGCCTACTTATTTTTACTAATAAAACTATGATCATTTCTAATTTCGGCACATGAAGTAATAAATATATTTCGATATTATCACAACTAGACTCATCACCATGGTTTTCAAGTGCCGAACATGTAGATACCAGAACAGCAACAAGGAGGTTGTAAGACGTCACGAGAAAGATAGACATGATGTCAGCCTGAGTAAGCCTAGAGATAGAAGCCGTTCCCCTATCCGTACCTCCTTTAACAATACCAAATCAGCCTTTAGCCCGTATCGAAGACGCCTCACTACCCCAGATTTTACCATTCGACGCCCCACTCGCCCTATCCTCCCTGGACTTCACCGAGCCCGCCCACTTCCTTCCTTGACCCCTACCCCATCTTTGATCTCCCCAATTAAGGACACCATCCCGATGGACATTGATGACTGTAACACACGTACACCTTCCCCGGAAAACCAACCGCCAACTTCCCCTCTTCCAGAAACTCCGTCCCTGACCGAAGACACTCAACCACCACCTCTCCCAGAAACTCCGTCCCTGGCCGAAGACACTCAACCACAACCAGCTTCCCCTCTCCCAGAAATCCAACCCCATCATGATGACGATGGAATCAGCATTAACACAAACCCTGTAGACGAATGGTACGAATATACCAATGACTCCGAAACTCAAACACAGGACCCAGAAGACCACATCGCAAAACTAATGAACAGGTGCCGCATTTCTCTCAAAAAAAACCCAGACTCCTCACGCACCGAGGCCTGTAGCGAAACCCAGAGTTACGTTCATACACTTAATAGTAGGGAAAGTGTTGCCCGGGTCGTCGAGACTCTCCACCTTCCCGGAGGAGGGTTCTACACAAGATTTGAATATAAAGTTCGGAAGTTTTAAAGCATTCTCTACCCTATTCTTGCCTCTTTTATCTTCCTATCAACTTCTAAATCTTTTTCTATCTCTATCCCTATTTCTTCAAAATGACAAACTTTGTAACGCCACTGATAAGTATATATATATATGATTATTTGTGTATATAAGTCAATTAAGCATTACTTTAATAAAGACTTCATGGGGAGGCCAAATTACGCAGTTAATAAGATAATCTTTTTGAGATGAATTTCAACCAAAGAATATATACGTCAAATTTTGGCAGGACAAGAGATGTTATTTGAGTAAATGAATATTCGATTAATAGACATGTATGCGTTAGGTGATTGATTGATGTTGTTGATGATGATAGGACGTTCCTATCGGGTGATGGATTAAGTACATGTGAGTTATAGTGTTTGAAGGAGATTAACGGAAGTTGTACTAAAGAGCATCTCTTATATCTGCCAAATAGACTGCCATTTTAAGAAATTAAGATTGCAATTTTATATTGTTGGTTTGAGAAATTAAATCTCAGATGTTGATGATTTAAATGCATGTTTTTATATGAAGTCATTATTACGGTAATATTGAATTATGTATATATATATATAGCAACAACATGATATGCGAGGACGCATTTTATGGAGAGGGAGGCTGTGTAACGATCCACCCTCACAATATTATACTTGTAAACTGACTTCCATGCTAGCTGTCATATCTTTTATCTGAAACTTCTGAAAACATGCAGCTTGAATCATCCCATCCTTTCTTTTCTCAATCTTGTCTTATTTCTGTCTTTTCTCCTCTGTCTCCCTCTCTCTCTCTATGCTCTCTCTCTCTCTCTCTCGCTCACTCCGAGATCTTGCATACAGCCAGCCTATTTCTCATCATTCCTTCACATTCTTCATTTATAGGTAAACATTATCTCGATTAACTTTATTCCAGAAGTACCGCTGCGAGTTATAATCTGGATTGTGTGTGTTTTGTGTATAAATACCTGCTTACAAGCAAAAGTTTCTAGTTTGAAGAAGTCTAGTATGAACGGCTTCACGTATAAACACAACCGGAAGCATACGTGTACGTTGCTTCCGACACACTACTCACTAGATCCAATCTATAAATCGTAGAATATGCCTAAAAATTCATTATTTATGAAATATGTGATTAAGTTGTATATTTATTCAGATAGACAAACAAATTATCCCTAATATCATATTATTGTCTTAACAATCTCTTGTCAAAAACGTAAGAGAATTCGAATTTTGTACTTCTTTAAGTTTATTAACCAGGATCGGAATTCAGGTTGTGCGGTTGACGCGCATTATGTAAACAAACAGTGAATCCCAAATTCATGCTATGAAATATTTGTTTGTTAAATTTCTGCTCTTATTACAAAGGAGAGCTTGAAAAATGTATCTTATGCCTTGTATAAAGTTTCAAATAAACGCATTGTAATGTTTCCATTACTTAAGCAGTGTAACGTTTGGAATAAATAAGCATTTAATATTGAATTAATAAGGATTTTGAACTATATAAAGACCAGTTGCAATGTGTACGTGCGCATCTAGCTCTGTGCATGATCGCGGCGTTGCTTACAGCACGCGCATAGATTTCCCCCACGTACGCATAGATTTCCCCCACGTACGCATACAGTGTATATATAAGATAGATTTTTCGGATTCGGGGCGATTCGGCAGAATCGCGCAACGAACTGGTCCAAACGTCGTCTCGCAAGAGCCGCCCAAACAAATTGGTCCAAACTTAACACTAAATTTTAAATAACATTGGCTAATTTTTAAACTCTCCTTCATAAACAAACAGGTATAGTTTCTTAAAGTTAATATAAAGTCCATTACCAATTTACAGTGTTATAGCAGACAGATTTTATAAACATGAGTATTAACTTGTGTGTATATGTATATATTATATAAAGACTTATTAAATTTGTAACAGTGGCGATAATATTATTGATGTAAAGAAAGAAATGATTAAATGAAGTTTTTGTTTTTGTGTTCAAACTAAAAATCTTGTCTCAAACAAATGTGTTCTTCTTTTTGAGTGTCAATTTAGTATTCCATTTACCTGTATTTCTATAGTCATATATTTTGACTAAAACGAATTAAGAATTTATAAAGATACATCGCTTCCTATCTCTCTTTCACGAGATATGGCCACAAATACCAGGCTCGCCGTGAGGGAAGGTAGGGGCGATGCGGTCGACGCCCTCAACGAGGGCGACGGCCGGTACAGTATGTAAAGAAAACATGCAGTAGTTTTCATGAGATATTCAGGAAGTGGTGCAATGGAAGATTAACTAAAAGTGTTTAAATCTCTGCAATGAACATGTGTTTTAATTTAAAGTAAAGTACTCTAAAATATACACTGACACACTATGAAGTATAATTTCAAAGCCTTTCCAAATATTTTCATTTTGTGGTACATCATTTTGTCATGTCGCTGCACAAGCATCAAGGGTAGTATAAAAACTGTATAAACTTTAAAGCTAATTAATGTAGAAATATTTTTCAAAAAGATTAAAGAAATCAAGGTTAAAAGGTCTATTGTACATAATTGGATATACATTTTGAGTTCCTCAGAAATCATTGCAGCTCTATTTATGATAACATACAGTGTACTATAACTATCGTTATACTTTAAGTTTTCATGGCTGAAGAAAACTTTTTATTCAATTCATTGTTTATTTCCTCCCTTTTAAATATATAAGGTTAATCAATTTCTTCAAAACTACAAGGTTTGTCTTGAATTATACTCCAAGACAAATTTATAGAATAATTCAACTACTTTCATAACAATATCAAACCTATCAAATATTTACAGTACCGGTAATCACAATTAAGAAATGAAAGGAGACAAAAATCTGACAGCTAGGCAGTATGTACACAACTTTAAAGTAATAATGCTTCTCTTATATTCTTTGGACAATTAGGTGTTCCCTCAATAATTACTCTATTAATTCTGACAAGGTTTAAAGTCTACCTGCATTTATCAAAATATCACAGCAGTCCTCCGATCAAATATCATCATACGTTTCTAAGACAGCAACTCATTCAACTAATTAACTGGTAAAACCACTGCCGAACATAATTATGAGTGATAAATGTATATGTACACTGTAAGTGTTCTTAAGTATATATGTAGGTACAAAGAGCATGTTTACAGAGCACAAACACTTGATTGCATTATTGAAAACAATGTCTCAAATTCATTATTTATGTTAAGTCATGCTTCATGCAAAGTCATGGAAGACTTACCTTTAGTTTTTCCTCCCTTTCTTTTTCTGGTAACTCCAGAAACTTGTCTTCGATATGCCTGACATCTCTGACATAGAACCTGCAGTAAGTGTTGTCATTCAAGAATGCCGCCTGGTTGATCTCTAGCTCCGTTACGCTGCAATATTGATAGGCCTCCTGCATGATCCATTCATGTCCCTTGCTTGCAGCGATGAGATAATTCCTATCCAACCAGGACATGTTACGAGGTAGTTTCTCCAGCGATGACGGAAGGAGCGGTGCGTCGTCGGGCCGGTGCGTGCCATAGCGTTCGCCGAGGAGGCAGATGAAGAAAGGACTGCAGCGATTGATGTACTCCAGACACAGGGATATAACATTCCCAGAGCTGCACTGCTCGTTGTTGATGCCCCAGCGGAGGTCCGCAGGAGCAAAGAAGGTACCCCTGGAATGGCAGACGGAGTTGAGCTGAGGAAAGACGTAGCGTTGGAGGTGGCCTCGCTCATCCTGGAAGTCTAGGAAGGTGGAACTGATGAAGGGCCTGATGGACTTGCGGAAGTTGAACTGACGCTTGACGGTGCTGAAGGAACGCTTGAGTTTAGGCCGTCCTGGTTTACCCATCCTGTGTTTCTTCTACTGTATGCCTGTACTGCAAGTACCCGTTAAAGTTCAACACTCACACCGTATAGCAGCATGCATCACAGGACTGCATCTCTACATGACAAAAAAGAAAAAAAAACAAGAAATGCCAAATCATTATGGGATTCTAGCAAATTGACAGAATTGTCTTTGATGAATAGACCACTATCTTAAACAAACCTTTCATCACATGGCTCCCTTTAGTTTACACTCATTCATAATGAACAAACAAGGCATCTAGGCTTGGTTCATGTTGTTCTTTCATATTATAGAGATATCTTATTTTGTAGAATTTAGTAAAAAGGATGCACATTGTATGGCTGGGTGATTTACCCATGTAAATGTATTGAATGATAGCATGATATAAATTATGAATTATAAAGCTATCCACTATTAAATTGAAATAAAAATAGGCCCACAGTAAAATGTTGTAGTCAATCTACACAGTTCCAACTACAAGTACAAACAGTACATGTCTATTAAACTCTGACAAAGAGGTCACTTCCTGTGTAAATGTTCAAACCGTGGAACTTTTTACAGGTCACATCACAACTCATCATTTGTTTTTCCCCAGGAACTCAAAGTTACCTAATGTACCGTTTCTTTCTTCCAGTTTCCACATACACACATACAAGTTGGAATTTTATCAATCAAATACAGATTGGGTAATATATATCTGCACTGTAGCTACCATGAATGAACCTCCCTATCATAATTATTGAGAAATCTCTTTTTTTTTTTTTTGCTTTTGCTTTTTTTTTTTAGGGGCCGGGGGGGGGGGGGGGGGGGATTTGTTTTTGTCTTACATTGCATGAAAACGAGATAATACATTTTCTTCTCCATTTTTTAACAATCTATACAAAATAAGAGAGTCCAACACTTTCCAAAGTCCAAACCATGTCAAATGTTAATGAAGTAATATTAATTAATAAGCACTAATATCTGTATCAAATTTAACGAGTACTGATTTAATAGATCTACATACCTCTGAGATATTGATTAATGCAATAACAAAAAGCCCTTACAACATACTTGCATAGTCTAGTTCTTTTTAGACTGAGATTGAGCTAGATTATATTACAAAAGATTAATGATTTGTGTAAACAGAAAAAAACACCTGGCCTGGACAGGGCCTGTATAAATGACACATTAATGATTTGTCAAATGATAGAACTCAAACTCAAAGTTGAAAAAGTGACATACTGCCAGTGGTCATGGCGTGGGTCACTTTTTAGGATACACTAACCCATGGTCCCTACTTCAAGTTTATTAGAAAATCACTTTGTCTCGGCTCAGCCACAAAATCCACCATTTAACTCTAAGTTAGTAACTGGAACAGTCCACTACCTAACCGAGGCCTGCGCCTGCACTTCCCCATCGTAGACTCGAAGCGAAGGCGACCACCATTCACAAGTAGAATTTTTAGGAAGTTCTACACAGTCAGACCTCTCTACTCTTTAAAATGCATGTTTAATCTTTAGCGGTTTAAAACATAATTGCTGGAAGATAACTTACCATTATATCATGAAAGAAACGGATTATCCTTCGTTTGATATCCCAAGGAAACTCGGATTCAGAAATAGAGTTGGACGTCAGCACTAAAATAACGAGCCAGTGCGATTTACATGTGTTCAATGCATTGTTTTACATGTACTTCTACACGTACACCGCAATCTTCGAGCAGCCGCTAAACGTTAACGCGCTAGCAACAGTTCCCACGATTAACCCTCCCCGATTGTTTACATGCATGCTATGCACGGATGGATGCCCAACTAAAAGGAGTTTATAGCTGGTACCGCGCTCCTATCATCATTTATTGATTTATTAACAACTTCTATAGAAAGTTCCCTTGCTTTAAAAGTAGGCGATGTTCTAATGATTTCAGTAACTCTGCATGGAACAATCACATTTGCATACAGCGGTAAACCGATATTTTAACCTTCGTAAAGTTTGCAAATGAGATCGAGATTTATCATAACCAATGGAGCTGCAGTAGTTGATGATGCGTGGGCGTGGCTGGTATTCTAACATTTCAAAGATAGTCTACGAACGTAACCTTTAAACAGTATATCCTCGGCCTCGGTGGGGGGGGGGGGGGGGGGGGGGGGGGGGGGGGGGGGGGGGGGGGGGGGGGGGAGGGAGGGGGGGGGGGTAGACGCTTTACTAACATATTAGAATGTTAAGTATAATTTGAACAACTGTTTCAATGGTGTTTCTTGACAGACAACCTGAAAGTATTTTCTATGCTTACCCGGCATATCAGCACGTTATCCATACAGACTGGATTCCAAGTATTGTCACTACAGGTCCCCAGGAAAGAAACATCTATGAATTTAAATACGCTAGTAAATGGGTCTATTTAACACACATTTTAAGCTGTAACTTGTAAGTACTCGAAGAAATAAATGCTAAAGGGGAATGGAAGTTAATATCAATTGTCATCATTTTGATTTGATTTATTCATTTCTGTTTGATTTTCTTTTTCTTTTGCAGTTTTACAAATATGTAACTTACAAAACATTGCAAATTTTACACATGAAAAAAGAGTGGTGTAGAATAAAGTAAGACTGGCTGTAGCTAATCAAAAACATCAAACAGGAGGGTTGACAAAGTAATGCAAAGCTTGATCGCATTACTACCGGAATATGGAGGAAAAATATTGGTAAAAGGGAAAGAGAAAGAGAAAAAAGAAACTAGAAAAATAGAAAGGGGGATGTAAATCAAGATTCAAAACTGAGAAATATCAGCCCAAAGAGGGAGAAGAAAAAAAGTTTTTTTAAAAAGAAAGATTTCTGACCGACCCATGTTTTGGCACCTAAAGGGCAATACAAGGCATAAGTTGTTTTTTTAGGCCTTATCATCATGATCACCATCATGATCACCATCAATCATTATAACAACCATCATCATCATCATTTTCGTCACCATCATTTATTATTCCTAATTTCATATCATATGATAATATCTGAAAACTCTTATTGAGATTCTAGGTAAATATTTAGGTATGAACAATAATGTTAACTTTTATCATTTTTATTGTACATTTATATAATCATTCCTGTTTTTATGCACATTTTATGTAAACATTGCATCATTGGTCCCTGGACTACTGCATTGTACATTGTATATGTTGATATAAACCGAAATTGAATTGAATTGAATTGAATAATTGTCGTGATCGGTTTATAGATATAATATTACAGGGGTCTGAAATCTAAGACACGTATAGACTAGATGTGACGGACTCGTGCAGTAACTTGTGTGTGCAGCTTTGCTGCCATGCTGTAAAAATACGGTAACCCGACACATGCTCCGCCGACGATTGCTCCGCCGACATTTACTCCGCAAAACGCGACAATTGCTCCGCGACATTTGCTCCGCGACATTTGCTCCGCCGACAATTGCTCCGCCGACATTTGCTCCGCCGACATATGCTCCGCCGACATTTGCTCCGCCGACATTTGCTCCGCCGACAATTGCTCCGCCGACAATTGCTCCGCCGACATTTGCTCCGCCGACAATTGCTCCGCCGACAATTGCTCCGCAAAACGCGACAATTGCTCCGGTGACAAATGCTCCTCGAACGACAGTTGCTCCGCCGACATTTGCTCCGCCGACATTTGCTCCGCCGACAATTGCTCCGCCGACAATTGCTCCGCAAAACGCGACGATTGCTCCGGTGACATTTGCTCCGCCGACAATTGCTCCGCCAACAGTTGCTCCGCCGACATTTGCTCCGCCTGAAGCGACACTTGCTCCGGTGACATTTGCTCCGCCGACAATTGTTCCGCCCAAAAAGTGTCCCATAAAATACAAATGCTACTAATACTACGACAAATGCTTCGCCGACAATATTTTTTTTTCACGGGTTATTTTCGTTTTTTTTTTCTTCATTTTCTGAATGCATTTCATGAAATAATGTAGATGAAATGAAATGAATGAATGTTGATGACAATAATAATAATAACTAGATTTGTAATACTTGTTTTGAACAAGAATAGGTGGGCTGGTCTAACTAAAATTTGAGACAAAATAAAGGGCAAATTTAAGATAGCTTATTGTCTCAGCTACAACATACTCGAATTTCAGCTAGCGTAAACGAAGCTAAAACGACGGAGATATTGCTCGCGAAAGACGGGAATGTAGAATCCAGTTTTGAAAAAAGTCATGTCCCATACAATAATAATAATACTATATACTTATACTAATCGTCATCAAAATCATCACGTTCATATTCATCATAAAGATAACAATAATAATGATTATAATAATTACAATAATAACTTATATTAACGATAATAATCATGATAAGGATAATAATCACAATAACAAACATAATAATTACAAAAGTAACATTAATAACACCACCAACCATAATAATCATTGTTGTCATTATTATTGTGATACTGCTTCTAGTACTACTCCTACTACATGTATAGGAAGAAGGAGGGGAAGAGGAAGAATCTTATTGTTTATGTTTTGTATTATCGAGGCATACAAATGCACAGGGAGGTAAGAGAGGGAAAAGTAAGGCGACGAAGAGGGAGAGAGAACGAGATGGGGTAGCCTATGGCCCGGGTTCAAATTCAGTTCTCTTTAATTTATTTGACCCAGTACTGATGATCATAATTTTATCTACCATGACTGTGATTGCCAAGTGTACGCCACACCGAATAGCACTAGCTCACATTTTGTTATTGTTGTCAAGAACTTATTGGCATGCAGCCAGTAGATTTTCTTCATGTGTTTGATCTTGTATTGAAAAAAAGATCAAACACATCATCATAATCTACAGAGTGCAGCCAAAAATGTCTTAACAACAATTGAAATTTCTTTCAGGAAGCCTAACACTAAAAGTTGTCTTTGATTCAAAGAGCATCGTAGAGACGATGAACAAATAAGAATAATAATACATTCCCTAATACATTTTCAATAATACATTTTCCCCGCCAAATAATCCGAACAAAAGAATCAACCGAGGGTAATCAACTGTTAAACGAATGTATCACGAGTCCTTGAAAATTAATTAATACTGCTTGTCAAATATTATTGAAGAACAGCAAAGGCGAACGCGATTGTCGCTGCAATTCAGAAATCATTGCTTGCATTGCTTTTCTCTCAAATTTACCGTGAGATATCAAGCTGCATAGAACTATGATCGACACAAAAGATATTGTCTTAAAACAGTCAGAAACATTATAACTTGAATGAATAAAACATAATGCAAATGAATAAGACTATAGAATGAATAGGACACAAGTTAATTTCTATCATATTTAAATCATCCAGTACCAAATACCTGAGCAAAATTCGAACCATGGATGCATTTAATGGTAAGCTTAAAGACAATGATTCATGACAATTGTCAATTGTCATGAGTTTATCGTCTAGACGTATTGCAAAAGATAATCAGAATAATGATGATCAGAATGATACCTCTATACTTTTAGGCCTATTTCTTCATGTACTATACTACACTACTGCTGTTGTATATGCTGATAATACAGATGATAATAATGATATGATAACAATTATAATAATACTATATACTTATACTAATCGTCATCAAAATCATCACGTTCATATTCATCATAAAGATAACAATAATAATGATTATAATAATTACAATAATAACTTATATTAACGATAATAATCATGATAAGGATAATAATCACAATAACAAACATAATAATTACAAAAATAACATTAGTAACACCACCAACCATAATAATCATTGTTGTCATTATTATAGTGATACTGCTTTTTGTATTATCGAGGCATACAAATGCACAGGGAGGTAAGAGAGGGAAAAGTAAGGCGACGAAGAGGGAGAGAGAACGAGATGGGGTAGCCTATGGCCCGGGTTCAAATTCAGTTCTCTTTAATTTATTTGACCCAGTACTGATGATCATAATGTTATCTACCATGACTGTGATTGCCAAGTGTACGCCACACCGAATAGCACTAGCTCACATTTTGTTATTGTTGTCAAGAACTTATTGGCATGCAGCCAGTAGATTTTCTTCATGTGTTTGATCTTGTATTGAAAAAAAGATCAAACACATCATCATAATCTACAGAGTGCAGCCAAAAATGTCTTAACAACAATTGAAATTTCTTTCAGGAAGCCTAACACTAAAAGTTGTCTTTGATTCAAAGAGCATCGTAGAGACGATGAACAAATAAGAATAATAATACATTCACTAATACATTTTCAATAATACATTTTCCCCGCCAAATAATCCGAACAAAAGAATCAACCGAGGGTAATCAACTGTTAAACGAATGTATTATGAGTCCTTGAAAATTAATTAATACTGCTTGTCAAATATTATTGAAGAACAGCAAAGGCGAACGCGATTGTCGCTGCAATTCAGAAATCATTGCTTGCATTGCTTTTCTCTCAAAATTACCGTGAGATATCAAGCTGCATAGAACTATGATCGACACAAAAGATATTGTCTTAAAACAGTCAGAAACATTAGAACTTGAATGAATAAAACATAATGCAAATGAATAAGACTAGAATGAATAGGACACAAGTTAATTTCTATCATTTAAATCATCCAGTACCAAATACCTGAGCAAAATTCGAACCAGATGCATTTAATGGTAAGCTTAAAGACAATGATTCATGACAATTGTCAAT